CGGTTCTGTCTCGTCAGGTCATCAGACTGGGTTCGGACACCGTCTCCAACAGAAACAGAAAAACTAGAAGCGATGCACCGAACATTTACGCGCGCCTTTTTTCTTTCTGGATGTCCAAGTGCTGACGTGATTTAGAACCGAACTGTCTGGTCGTGTTGACCCACGATGCGTCTGCAAAGCTACAGTCGTGCACCAGCAGCTCACGTCACTGTCGCCGTGACCGTGAACGCGCCGCAGAAGCGGATCGATGGTGGACAAGAACCTGCTGATGAAAGGGAGAGAGGAGCAGCCTGCGTGTGTGTGTGTGTGTGTGTGTGTGTGTGTGTGTGTGTGTGTGTGTGTGTGNAGGCTCCAGACGTCCTTTTTCTGCATCATGACTGTTTTTAATTGTGATGTTCTCACTAGATTGTGTTCATACAGATGTAAACAGTGCAGCTTTGTCATTTTATTTTATTATGGAGTGTTTTATATTTCACACTAAACCAGGAGTTAAAGTGTCGGGGGGAGAAACATCAAACCCAGTCTGCTCTGAGCAGAAGAAGCTCTGAGTCTGAGAACCTCCACCGTTCCTCTGTGCAGCTGTCTGAGTGTAAAGTCCTCTCACTCGGTGTTTTACGGCCACAGCAGGTCTGGTGGACCCACGTCCACGCTCTGCTCAGCTGACTTCCGTTAATGCAGCAAGAAAGTGTCACAGTTTTTTTTGGCATTTGACTGAAAACCAAACGATGTCTGTGGTGAGACCTGATTGACACAAATCAACCAGAATGCTGCTTCCAGGCAAACTAAGAAAACACTCAGAGTTCTTGTGGTTCTGCTCACTGAGCTGCTCTCTGGCTGGATCAACATCTGATCTGCACCTTCTCATCCTGCAGCTCTGGTTCCGCTGACGGTGTGACTGGACTGAACCACAGCTGCCTGCAGACCGTCCACAAGCCGCTGAGGTCAGAACACACACACACACACACACACACACACACACACACACACACACACACACACACACACACACACACACACACACACACTGCTGTTCAGAAGCTTTCACACCTGATTTATTCAACATTTAATTCATACTTCTCGTGTTTCTCTCTGTTTTGTGTCCAGCAGAATCTGCAGAATCATATTTAGTTTAACGTGTTTTTTTTCCTGTATATAATTCTAATTATTCTTTTTAAATGATTAAAATTCTCCTGAAAATATCAGCAAAAACAGTTTAAAAAAAAAAAAGAAAAGCAGAAATATGGCAAAAATACTGCATTAAAAATAAGATGCCTCAGTAACCAAGAAAATGTCCTTAAATAAAATAAGATTAATGCAGAATGACCTCCTCCTGGTTCTACTAATATTATATTATATTATATTATATTATATTATATTATATTATATTATATTATATTAGTTAATTTCTGGTTCGTTCATTTTTTTGCTCTATATATATTATATGTTTTGGGGAGTTTAATTTCTAACAGTTCTTCACATGTAGCTGATCGCACAGAGAGCTCCGGGTGTAAAATAAAACCTGTGAAATTATCCAAATACAATTACCTAAAAAAAAAATACACCAAAAGGAGAAAAGAATCTGCCTTAAACTGATTTTTAAATTAAAACAGTTTCACTAGAATAATATCAACTGATGTGATGCCAGAATTAAAACAGGAAGCTTTAAAGTGACATGATCATGAACCAAACGCTGCGTCCGTGGAGCTGATTTCTGTGCTGCTGGAGATAAAGTGAGACCACATGAGCAGGGTGGTGGTGGAGCGGCTTCCTCCTCCTCCTCCTCCTCCTCCTCCTCCTCCTCTCTGGTATTTGGACTAAAGGGGAGAACGAGCTTTATGAGCTTCAGGGCTTCCGTCAGTATTGTTGGTTTTAAAGGAGGACAGAGACGGAGCCGTAAAGAAAGTCAACAGGCCGCCAGAGCGCACCGCCGTTTGTCAAGTTCAATGTTAATGTTTAACGGTCCGACACACACACACACACACACACACACACACACACACACACACACACACACACGGACAGTGAAATGCAGCTCTACACTGATCAGAATCTTTTTTTCTTCTATATATATATATATGTATTTAATCCTACATCTCTGTTCCAGGTGAATATTTCACCGACAGAACCAGTGGACAGACTGATCTATGTGCAGCTTCTCTGTCTATAGCAGCTAATTAACGGCTCGGTTCCGGGCCTCCTCCAGCCACACACACCCGCCGCTGACCACTTTTTATTTTCATCTGCTTCATCGTAGAGTTTAATTTCGCTCCGAGTTCCACATCAGCGCCGCCTGATGCCACTAAATCATCGTTTTAATTTGGTTGTACTTTGTGTGTGATGACAATAAAAAAATCTCTTCTGTTTAAAAAGATTTTTAATATTTCTCAGCAAATCCTAGTTTTCTCTGTTGTCAGGCGCAAATCCTGTAAAAACCTGCATCACCTCACACACCGCCGTGTCCC